TGAAACCGTTTTGGAATTGCTTAATTCGTTCTTGAGATATATATGATTAAGTGGACCCAATTTTTTTTTTTTTTGCAAAAACGGTAAATTGCAAATATCTCAAAAACGGTACCATACAATTAAAAATAACCTTGATTTTCGGAATCAGGGGGTGATTTTACATACGAATTTCATAACGGCGTCTCTGGTAAATTTTGGCCGTCGACCAGTGTAATCTATTGTCGGACTAGGCTTGTTGGGATTTTTTATCGGGTAAATTAAAAAATAACCATTCTTTAAATTTTGACCATCGATAATTTCTACAATTTCAAAATATGTAGTACTATCTAAAATTAAATCTATTTTCAAATAAAATAAGACCTCATTTAGGCGACTTTTCTTAAATACGGCCATGAATTTGTATGTGAGTATGTAAGGAATTCATCAATATTTATTAATATTTAGCAAAATCGCTCTTTAGCAAAAAAGTAGCTTTTCAAGAAATTTTAGGTACCGCCCACTTATCACGGCACCCTGAAAACAATTTCAACCCTCAAGTTACTTCCCTTCGCCGATCCCTGTTCCGTCGGGCGCTTTTTTCTATGGTAACTTTTGCTAATGCAAATATTACACAGGCCAACAAAAATTGGAAAAAATTTGGTTTCCTAAAATGTTAAAGTTGTTTTTTTTAGACTTTTTGTGCTGATTACGAATCTGTAAGTACGAATTTTGCAACAGCTTTAAGCTGCAAATTAAAGAGTAAATCCTGTAGAAATTAAACAGATTCAAGTGTTTGGTTCAGAGGGACTGGTAAGTATGTATTGGAAATGTCCTTTTAAAATTTTATCCTTGAAATTTCGCAATATTTGTTTTTGAAAAAGTTATATGTTAAGGACTTATATAAACTCGATTACATCCACGAATTTCGTCCTTCTAACTTTATCAGATTAAAAAATTACCAATTCGTCCTTGTGAATCCAAAAAATTTTATTTTTTTTTTAATTCTAACGAAATTTCCTCTTGCATTTGGAACCCATATTTTTTTTTACATTCCGTTGAATTTTTTAAATAATTTTTGGAATTAATCATATCTTTGAAATTACAAAGTCCTTTAAAATAAATCTTGAAGTCAGAGAAAAAAAACGCCACTTTAAATAAAAAGTAGGTTTCAAAGCCATTTATTAATTATTTATTTTATGGTAGGAGAGCTTTTCAAACAATATAGAAGCATTGTTTCCATTTAAGTTGTTGAAAAGTAATAAATATCTAAATCCCGGGACTAACCCCGGGATCCCGGGATCGGAAAAAGCTGAAAAATTAACATCCCTATCTGACACCCAT